TACCAACTTGTGGAAAATGGGCATCCGATGTCCCCTTTAAAGTTATGGCTTTTTTGTTCCTTCATTTACAAGTTGTTAATGTTTGCAACAAGTTATCATTGTGAATATATTTGTTTCTACATTTTATGGAAGCTGTAGGGAGGCGGCTGCTATTTTTATTGTGTTTTCACTGTTTGCTCTGGTTTTGTGGCCAGTTAGGGGGTGAGTTAAAGGACTGTTTTGTTGTTAATTTGTTTTGTCTGAGTAGTCTATTTAAGATTTTACTCCTCAGACTAGTGCTTGTTAAGTCTTAAATATTGTTGCATCCTCTAAAAACTCCTAGACTCATATAGATATGCCCAGAGACACTGAAAAGTTTAAACAATAAAACCTAAAACCTCTTCCTGCTCGACATACTTGAATTTGTCCAGTGAGCAGTTTGGATCCTCCAGTTTTTCAGAGAGCAGCTTGACTCCTGAATCTCCGGGGTGATTATAGCTTAGATCCAGCTCTCTCAAGTGTGAGGGGTTTGAAGTCAGAGCAGAAGACACATAACAACATCCCTCCTCTGTCACCATACAGCCAGATAACCTACAAAAAATACAGCAACAGTCCACATCACATTAGTTTGTTTGTTCTGTATATCACATTATGTGTTGTATCCTTTTTGTATTGAACTGATTATTCAATAAAAAGTATTGTGCACATTTGTTATCATTCTGATCTTGTCAGTCTGCTCAAATATATGATATTCACAGACACAGAACAGACTTAAGAAGCCTCTAGACCGGACCATCAGTAAGATGGTCACTATGAAGCCATAGAACCAACCAAACCTAATAGGTCCAGCATAGGAGAATATAATGCAGGAAATTTGGAAAGATGGTGGTTACAGGGGAATTAGGAAGGTGAAAATAAGGGCAGATCTAAGACCCCTGAAGGAAATGAGTAGATACTGAGGTATCACTCTGATCTGGACAAAAGCGCTGACGCCCTGTCTGAATCACATCCCTTAGGTCTTTTACTTACCTTCCTTTGACCCATGCTTCTTCCTACCCGCGGGCGGGGAAGGAGTGCGAGCCGTGACACTAGCCCTCTGAGCCAGTCTCTGATCCTCAAACCGAGACGGGCTAAGACCCCTGGGTTGTTTGGGCTCAGACCTGGACTTCGTGAAGGTCGCTATCCTGGTCTTTTAGCAGGTCGGCCTGATATGCTTGGAGCATCACCATCATGTGCAATGAAGCGACAGCCCGACCTGCTGCTGCTGCGTATGCCCTGGCATCCGAGCGAGATGTCAAGGAGGGGAGTCTTAGAGGACGTCTCACCCATAGAGAGATAGCTGGCCAGCGTCTCTCTCTATAAGGGCATCTTCTCATAACCGCTTTCGTGCATTGCCTCGATGTTGGCATAACTCGTATGCTGGAATCGATGGATGCGTGAGGAAAAACGGCCTCTTCCATTCCTTCTTAATCTTTATATGGAAAAAAGGAAGAAAGGAAGGCTCACCTGAGCTGGAGGATTATGGCCAGAAAAATAACGTTCATCGAGATATTTGGCGACGTCACTTTCTTCACCCACTTCACGGCAAGTAAAGCCTTGCCGTGGCGTGATCCATAATTTCCAAAAGCTCATCATACGCAGGGCAGGAGATTTGGGAAGGCTCAGCCTCAGCTTCTTTTCCCTCCTCAAACATTTCCTGTTTTTGCTGGGCTGATCCCAGCAGAGCACTGGCCCCTGAATCAGACAATGTTAATGGAATAACATCATCCTCCAGTGGCTCACTCTCGTGCACAGCCGACGATCGTGAAAGGAAAATCCCCCCTCAGACTCATCGCCCAGATCCACCTGCGATCCCCACGAGCTCATTCCCTTCCGTGCCTCAGCAGCGGCGGGTCCTGAATCGAGCTCATTCCCTTCCGTGCCTCAGCAGTGGCGGGTCCTGAATCGTGGGAAGCAGATGGCTGCCCCTCTTTCCTCGAAAAGAGAGACAAACGAGAGCGGAGCTTTTCCCTTGGAAAAAACGCTCGCAGTGCACGCTAATTGCCCCCTCGGAGGCATCGCGTGCGTGCGTGCTCTTCGCCCAAACAAATAACGTATAGATCGTGTGTGTCATCAGATGTTAAACAATGTCAACACAGATGCACACATCCTTAAACGCTTTGCTAGTGCTCACCATAATGAGATGAATAGAGATCGCTCTTACCACAGAAATGCACGCTTCAAACAAAACAGTCAATGAAGACGAAGAAGAGAATGATGTGTGCTCCCGGCGCCTATTTATACTATAGTCGCACCGGTAGTGACGTCATGGCTGTCGCCGGCCAACGAGTTGGTGTTTTTTCAATGTATGCTTCAGACACGGATCATGACGAGGCGTTCCCCATAGCAACCCCTAGAGGACGCAGTGTCTCGTTCCCTACTCAAAGAACCATGGTCACATAAGTAACCTGAGACGTTTCTATACTTCTACCTCCTCAGCGCATTGCTTGGTTTTTAAAATAAAATAATCAGATTTTCAGTACAGAAACAAGCTAATTGCACATATTCATAAAGTCTGTTCTGTCTCTGTGACAGAAGGCGTTCCCCATAGCGACCCCTAGAGGACGCAGTTCGAAGTTCCCATGAAAGGGAGCCTATGCTATTCACACAAGCCTCATTCATACTAATGTGCTCATATGAGAACATCCTCAGACCTCAGCATTAGATCTCAGTCATTTGATTGGTCAGGCTGGTTCAAGCATCCCTTCTGGCTGCAAATTACCATATTTAATATTTATAATATTAATTTTTAATTTCTGGATAATGATTTGATGTAAGTGGCATATTTACTCAACTTCTAATAGGGTATTTTCACACCTAGTTTGTTTTAACCCTCCAAACGCTCTCAGAAACCCCCCCCTGAGTTAAGCTCAGAGAGGTCTCCTGTTCCCATGTCCAGCCCAGAGAGAGCTCCTGTTCTCAAGTTAAGCCCTAAGAGGGCTCCAGTTCCCCCGTCCAGCCCAAGGAGGGCTCCAGTCCTCAAGTCAAGCCCAGAGAGGGCCGCTGTTCCCACGTCTGGCCCAGAGAGGGCCACAGTTCCGGAGTCAAGCCCAGGGAGGGCCGCTGTTCTCACATCCGGCCCACAGAGGGCCTCAAAAGTCGATATTCTCCCCAAGGATTTTTTTGGGGGTGGGTTATAGGGATCCGGCCATAGAGGCCAGGTTGAGTGCTGAGGCCAGGCCCCCTGAACTGTCTGCTCCACCATGGCCCCCTGAACTACCTGCTCCACCATGGCTTCTTAGTCTACCTGCTCCGCCATGGCTCCCCGAGCTGCCTGCTCCGCCATGGCTTCCTAGTCTGCCTGCTCCGCCATGGCTTCCTAGGCTGTCTGCTCCGCCAGGGCTCCCTATTCTGCCTACACCGCCATGGCGCTCCGAACTGCCTGATCCGCCATGGGTCCCAGAACGGGTACCATTCTGGAGGCCTGCCATCCTGAGGGGCCTCCAGAGCATTTGGACCCAAGCCAAGATGCTAAGGGTGTCCTGCACATGGCTGCTTGATGCTATGCTGCTAGCTTGTGCAGTGTTGTCAGAAGCTATCTTTGAAAATGCAGCAGTTTTAGCAATTGTTTCTGGCCATTTCAATCTTAGTGCAATCCACATCTACAGACATCTGTATAAATATGAAAAAATGCCTGCAAATGTTTTTGTTGTCTCTAGTTCTGGAATGCCATTGAGAGCAGAAGCTAATTTTTTTTTGACAAAATTCAGCTGCCATTTATTGTGGTAGCATTTTGTTAAATATTTTATGGAAAACCATTACCTCAGTATCTCCAGCTGACAGTTTGGACTCTTCAGTCCATCAGAAAGCAGCTTCACTCCAGAATCCTGCAGGTCATTGTTACTCAGGTCCAGCTCTCTCAGCTCAGAGTTTGATGATTGTAAAACTGATGACAAACTC